TCCCCCCGTGCCCAGCGCGCGATGCTCGTGGGACAGATTTGGGTGCTCCCCCCATTTGGGCCCTTTAGGTTGCACCAGGCCGGTGGCCACCGTGGCTCGCTGAGCTTCTGGCCCCGTTATATTTAGCTCGGTTTTAACGGGGGCTCCATATGGGTGCGCGTTTTCTCGGCTCTGTTGCTTTGTACGTGCTAAGTAGATGCAGGAGGGAGCCGAGAAGTCGTCCCGCTGTCGCGAAGGCGCCGCGGCGGCGGCTGCCCCGGTCTGCACCGTGTTGGACACGTCCCTCCTGGGCACAGGATTGTCCCCAACCGCATGTCCTGCCTTCATGCAGGAGTTGGGAAGCAGCAAGAACCAGCCTGGGGATGGGGATACAGCACCGATCCATTGCAAAACGTAGCCCGTGGGGAACAAACACCAAAGGGTTTTTGGTTGCTGGAAGTGCCTTGATTTTTCATTTAGCAGCTTGCATGTCACAAGGGTGACTGTGCTGTGTCACTCCGGGCTTTTCTGCTTTGTTTTGAGGTTAATGCACAAGTTGGGAATGGTGGAGCTGCTCTGAACCTCTGCACACCTGAAGATTGTGGGCAAGTCACGAGGCAGCAGGTCTGGATGTGCCACTTCAGAGAAGAGCCATAAGAAGCCAAGAATTTGGGTTCCTGGATCCTTTAGTTGTGTTAGGAATTATTTCATTTATTTTCTAGGGAGTGCAGCTTGTAGGCACTGGAGAGAAATTGAGTTTGGGAGAAGTTTCTCCTGAGCCTGAATCCATAGGGCAAACCCTCAAGTCCCAAAGTGCAGGTTGGACCTTTCTGGAGCCTGAGCTTTTGGGGGGGTTTGGTGGAGTGGGAGGCTGGACAGACAGACGGACGCATCTCCAGCAAGGAAACCCCTGCCAAGAGCTGCAAGGGGGCTCCGCTGCCCTGGAAATAGAAAATGCCAAGCTGGGGAGGATGCGGAAATCTCCCCAGGCAAGGCAGCAAGTGCAGGATTTTCCCAAATCCAAAGCAGGAAGACGATTGCATTTGCTTATCCAGGGTTGCACCTCTGTGCTCGAGCCGCGCAGCTATTTTATTTATTCTAGCCCTGTTTCCCCAGGAAAAAAAAATACTGGAACATAATTGCACAATTGCCTTTATCCCTTTTTTTTTTTTTTTTTTCCTTTCTTTCTATTTTCTTTCTTTCCCCAAGACGGAGCGAGCGCCCTGCTCGAGCTGCTGGTGCTAATGCTCTGCAGCAGGGCTGAACCCTGTGAGCTGTGCAGCAAGAGCAGGGGCGGGTGCCCTATATAGGAGGGTTAACCAGGGCTTAGTCGTGGAGCAACGCGGTAATTGCAGCTGGTGTGAAGCACTGCTCCTCTTTTGTGCGTTATTTCCCCCAGAACAGCTGCTAATGCATATACATTCTCCAATGCATGTAAACAACCTGTGCGGGAAGAGGATTAATTTCTTTATATATGTATATAAAAAAAAGAAATTAGAAGTGAGTTAAAAGGGCAATTAGAAGAGCAGAAAGAGATATTGAGCAGTGAATTAGACAGGATATTTCAACACACGATCAGAGCTTCCCGCGCTGCGCTCAGAGCAAAGGGAAGGTAGCAGTGAAAATTGGTCAATTAGGAAATGATAGCACAGAATTGGTGACATGGGAGAAGGTAATGGCTGATTTGTTAAACAGTTATTTTGATTCTGCTCTTGCAAAGGAGGAAGAGGATGGAGGGCAGCTCCGGGAAGGGCTCGGAGGGGAGCAAGCGCTGATGGAAAGTGCATGCGGATCGGGAGCGTGGGGAAGGCTGCAGGATTTAGTGGTTTGGCTTTGGTGAAACGCTGTTCCTGCCCTGCATGCTCCCTGCGAGCGGGGAGCCCTGCGGCGCCTCGGAGCAGCTTTCTGGGGAAAAGGGAGCAATTAGGAAATGGTGACACGAGGGGACGGAGCGAGTGTCGTGCGGGGGAGATGGGACTCAACCACTGAATTGCAGTGTCAGGTTAGATGGAAAAAGTAAAAAAATAAAATTAAAAAAATATATTCTTGGCATCCTCGGGGTATTCAGCTTTTCTGTCTGGAGGATAAGGGCGATGCAGCCTTGCGTGTTTTGGGTTTTCAAAGCACGTGCGCGAAGCCCTGTACTAACAATTACAGGATGAGAGCACGGAAAGGAGGCCCAAAGGGAATGGGCTCAGGAGAGGGGGTTTGGGGGCACGAGGCAGCCTCGGAGCAGCGCTGAGCGGCGCCGCGCGGGCGCCAGCCGGGCCCGGGCGCAGCTGCAGCGCGTGCAGGTGGGAGCCGCGGTTGACGCGACGTGTCAGAGCACGCCATAAAAATTCAGCTTATCCGGAAAGAGCCGCAGCCGTGGAGGACGAGCAGGCACAGGGAGGGCCGGCGACACGGGGGAAGGCGGGAGGAACATCAGAAACCTATAGTCCATGTCAAGTGACATCTCCTATTTAGCAGTATATCGTGTCTCCCTTCTGGTTTTTAAGCAGTAGCCTTCATTGCTGGGAGCTAGAGCTCTTGATTGACAAGGCTTGTAATGTGCCATGGAGTTGCCTTTATTTTTCCCTCCATGTGAAAGGAAAAGATACTAAAAACACAATTACGGTTTGGAACCAGGTGTAGTCTATTCTAATATAATTCATCTCAAAGACTATCCGTAGTGCCGGTTGCACCCACATCATTTATAAAACATTAGCATCTCCTGCACTGACATTTCACTCCTATATTGCAGGAGTTACATGGAGGCTTAAAAAAAAATTAATAAAGTGCTTCTCTTCTTCGTTCTCCCACGGAGAGCTTTGATTTCCAGGGTAGGAAGCGAAATAACCGACATAACAACATTCCCCACTTCTAAGGGACAGTGCCAGGCTCATTCAGTTGCTATTGGATATAGAGAGGAGGACAAGAGGGAGCTATTTTGGAGCACAGATTATTTGCTCTGGCTGCCTTGGACATCCCTTTAGTGGGGCTTTTGAGCCCTGTAGACGGAAAAGTTGGGATGGGAACGGCAAAGGCTCGATGAAACAGCTCCCTGTTTCTCCTCCTGGAGCCGCTCCTGCGATTCCCTCAGGCCGTGTTTAAAAATGGAGCATCCCAGGCTCCAGCCCTGCCTCGCTCGGAGGAGTGGCCGCGTGCGAGAGGGATGGATGCACGGATGATGCTCTGCTCCCAGCTCAGAGCTGCTCCTGCAGCCGGTGGCCTAAATTCTCCACGTGCCTCCGGCCCTGTGGATACCAGATTCGGGCGGGTACCCCGTTGCTCCCATTGGAATAGCAGCACGAAATGAAAACCAGCCTTTGCTCTTGTCCAAGATCACTTTTATTTCCCTTGTTCCATTAATCTCAGTGTCTGCTGCGTCTCTGCTCCCACCGGGACCCGCCATCGACCGCGGCCTGTGGACAACCCCTTCCCAGGGCGGCGATGGCTGGAAATGGGCACCGGGGCACTGAGCGGATCCGCTCCCTCCTGTCGCTCCGTCCCCGCTCCCCTTGTTATGGCTGTTTGCACCCCTTTCCCCCCTGCAAACCAGGACGCTGCTGTCCCCGCGTTGTGCCCGTTCCCTGCCAGGACCCGCTGCCAGCGGGATCCGCGTGTCCCGTTCCCGCAAAAACCCTCAGTCCAGCTAGGAGGGTCCGTGCGCGGCGGCCGGGGTCCCCTTTTCCCCATGGGGCTCAGTGGCTGCGCCGCCATCTCTAACGGGATCCGCGTGTCCTGTTCCCGCAAAACCCTCAGTCCAGCTAGGTGGGTCCGTGCGTGGTGGCCGGGGTCCCCTTTTCCCCGTGGGGCTCAGTGGCTGCGCCGCCATCTCCCCCTTTACAAAACTGGGCTAATGGGGGAGTTTCAGCCTCGGCATCGCCTGTGTCCCCCCACGTTCCCCGTGTCCCCCTTTGCCGCAGGGGGATGGATGGGGTCCCCATGGCTTTGGGCACCTGTAGGCACTGCTGCCGCGCGTTTTCTTGAGGAAAAAAACAAAAAAAAAAGGGTCTCCTGCTATGCTATAAACGCAAGCGTGTGATCCTTAGTCCTGGAGATATAGTTTCCGTATAGTTTATAAACATTGTAAGACATACATATGGATAATTGAGGGAAAGGGGGAACCTGTGCAATTTTTTTTGTTGTTTGCTTTGTTTTTTTCTTTAAATGTGTGAACATGGTTACAAAAAAAAATGCACCTTCTGCAGGTACTTCATTTCCTTAAGGAAATGTTTTAATTCCACCTCTAATCAGTCTTTCCTTTGGTAGTCGGCTGCTGCGCCAAGCCCTGCTCCGCAACGAGGCCTGAGATATCGGGGTGTGAGATTGTCTTCGGCAGAGATTTCCAGCCGCCTTTGGCCTGGGCTGGGGAGGGTTGGAGCCAAAAAAAGGGCTTCAAAAGTGGGAGAGAAGTGGGGAGAACCAACGTTTTGCCAGCACGCGCGTCCTCGTAGGCTTCACCGGTGATGGTTTGGACAACGTTGCGTCCCTCTCGGCGGTTTTAAGCGCGCTCAGGGCTCCGCGTGGCCCC